AGTAAAAGATTTAAAAATCGTTAGACCTCCGCTGACGTCACAAATTCTAAGGGGGCATACCAATGCATTAGCCCCTTAGAATCCGAAAACTGCAAGTTTGAAATTCCATATCTCCGAATTAAAGCATTTTTCGGTGTTGTGAGTGCCCAAACCGGTATTTTCAGGCCATGGCCACCAATTTGGCTATCTCAACTCAAAACTAATGTTAAGGTGGGATGGTCACTTTAAACGCTGACCCGAGTCGGGCGCAGGCTAATAAACGTGTTTGAATCATGAATGCCTACTGTTGTCGCTCAATATGTGCCCAAAAGGTATGTTATGTTCATCTGTGTTTATTGGCTGCAATGTTTGTTAGAAACCATTAACCAGACAAATGGGATGGAAGCTTTGGCTTTGGTTTGGGCTATATCAGGCGTCTATTGAGCAGATGAATCGTGCGATTCCCTTCAGGCCAGATTCGTGTGTATCTATAAAAGTCTACGTAAGGAATTTGATATCGCCTGTGTAAGTTCTGCTACCTAGATAATAAGACAGGTATCGAGAAGTGCATATGTTGTTTTATATGTCTGCCTACAAATAAAATGAACTGGAAGGTCAGAACTGGAAGTGCGGGATGGTGGGAGAGAAAATCAAGTGACGCACTTAGAAGTCAGATGTGTTCGTTTCCATTGACCATTGCTCACCATTACTACTGCTAATGAAGGTTGGACCCTAATTTCGACAGCAAGAGCGAAGGGATCAAAAAGGCACCGAGCAGCTCTGAGTCATCTAATCTTTATCGTTAGCACAGCTAGCACATTGGACGAGTAGAGTATAATGTTAAAATGTATTAAGCTCAAGGTCAAAACAGTTTGAAAAGTAACATTCACAAGCGCTCAATTCCGCTTAGCGGGCACCCGGGTGGAAAGCATCCATTCAACCAGTCAACCATTCAGACTAAAATTCTGAGAACAGCTCTGGTTCCACCATTCAATCACGAACAACGCGTACCAATAACCTATTGCCAGCGACTGTCCAGCTGGACAGTCTTCAAAGGAAGGCAGCTCCGCAATTGAGTGCAGCCCGGCGGCAGAGCCGGCGCTCGTGCCCGTCCAGGCGAGGTGCGGCACCTTGCTCCCCTCCCGTCCCGTACGCCTAGCGGCAGCTCGGCAGCAGAGCCGACCTCTGTGCCCGTCCACGCTGAGTCGGGCACCTCCCATAATGGTACAGGTGACGCCACCTGGCTGTGCTGCTTCAGCGCCGCATGTCGTGCCGCTCGAGTGTAGGAAAACGGAACAGGGCTGACGGCGCGACGTGGGTACGATGTCATCGGCTTCCACTGGCAGATCCTAGGGGAGCGTCTGGGGTGAACATTCCCTCATAGCGTCCGATGTTATTGGATACGTCATACGTATCGTTGTCTCGCAAAAAAAAAAGACTGTAAAGGAAATGTTTGCTTCGAACCTGAGCCCTCTTATGAGCCCTCTTATGAGCCCCTGGCCTGGCTCAATCTTATAAACGCCGTGGAATGGATATGGCAGCACTAGCTGAAGTTCAGCTGCAGAAAACGACTATCAAATGCAAAATGGTTTTCACGCATTTCAGTCCAGCGTAATTTGACGGTCTAAGGAATCATTTCGTTGACTCAGATAAACATTTGTCAGCATCACTGACAAATGATCACTGATATCACTGTGAATGCTACCAAATGCCGTAAATAGAATAGAACGGCATTTTATAAGATTGAGCCAGGAGGCAGGAAGTGGGGTACAATGAGGATCTGGATCATTCCGTGGGTTTTGCCTCAGCCGATTAATTCATTTGTAATTGCATTGAATCTTGCGAATATAGCAAACATATGCAAGTGTAGACTGTAGACGGAAATAACAAAAGAAGTCCATGCCGATAAAGACACATTCAGGGGTAGGGGAGATCTATTCAAGACATAGGGAGATCATAGACATAGGGGTAGTAGGTGAGATCTATTCAAGACATAGGGAAAGTCAGTTGGGTGATGCGCCAGCTGGTTCATCTCCAGCCAGATAAAGATAACATTCTTCTCTTTCTTCAAGTGCCCGTCTAAAGTCGATTTTTAAATTGACTTTTAGTTACCACGCGGAAAAGCCTTTATTCTTTTCTTTCAAAAATAAGTTCCTGAAGGCAAAAAATGAATGTACTGACATCGTGTGCAAGTCATCGTGTTTTGACGGCCATGACATCGTCGTAGCACGGGTCGTAGGTAGACCCAGGGCACCGCCGACGGGCCGTTGCGGGGTACGAGCTGAGGGTCTGGGAACTAGTCTAGAAGCCAGGCAGAAATAATTTCGATAAAAGTTGATCATCTGTGAAAACAAATAGGCGCTAGCCAGTTTTCTCAGTAATTCAGCTAGCAGTTCTCGTGCTGTGTTCAAAGTAACATTTGCAATGAGGGTCGAACTTAAAAAAACGAACTTTAATACTTTGGTCAAATCATTGCATTGCATTCTCTGCCCTCCCGCTCCCCAACCCATAAATCTCCCACGCCGCCTAGCAGGTTCCCACGCGGGCCGACTGGGCTTACGCAGATTGTCTCACGGCCAGCAGTGGGCGGAGCCAAGATTGGGGCCGCCGCACTGTGATTGGTCAGCGCTCCGATCCAATCGCAAGGGAGTCAGTGAGTCACCGACTACGAAGGCTGGATGCACTAAGTTTAGATACCGTTACATGCCAGTTCCTTGTTATGTACCTATAGGTACCCAATTATCCTGGATAATTTGTATATATTTTGTTCTATATCTTATCTAGTTCACGAAAATCCAAAAGTCCCTGAAAGCTATAATTACAATGCATTGATAACTAAGAATGTAATAATAAGAAAACAGCATCTTATGAGCTGCAATGCGTCCTTCGCTGCGCTCGGGTCCCTTTGCATCACATCGGGCTTTCTGATTCTGTTGTTGGGACGCTCAAAGTCCATACCTAACGCCTTTGTTAAAGTTATTGACTGTCCTTTTATGGGCATATTTTAATAAAGACGTCAGTCGGAGTAAAAATAAACACGATTTCGCATGTGCCTTGTTCATTATCGCCTTAGACCTCGCTTTTAGTCACATTCACACTCGAACCTTCCAAATAATCCAATTAAATCACTGCACGGCACGAAAATACTTATCAGTTTAGTCACATCCTTATGTCGCGTGCTTTTAAAAATCACGGCGAACCTTGGAATTCGAACGCTATTTAGCGCCCTAATATAGGCATGCAGTCTATATCGACGGGAAAATGGCGCCCGACCGACCGGTCGACCTTGCCGACACGGAAACTTTGCACCTCCCCCCTCCCCCCGTGATGGCCAGTCGTGTCCGCCACGGAGTGGCCATCAGTCCCGGCGGACTTTCACCACAGAGTCGATGCAGTTTGGTCACCGTGAGGGTAACCATTAAAGTAGGGGAGTTTTTGGGTGTAAGCTGCTGTGTTATCTACTGCAATACCTAATGACATACGTTTTTGGTGACCGTATTTAGTAATTCAGAACTGACGATTTTGCAGTGATTTCAAAACACCATTGTAATCTGTTCATAAGAACTTCATACCGAAGTTCTTGGCTCAGTTGTCGTCTGTACGTCCACAGACGACAATGAAAATTTCAGTAAAAGTGTGTGACCTGATCTTCATCTTAGCAAATTGCTGGTTGAACTAACTAGCAAGCATTTATTAGGTAATGCGAGCATAAAATAAAGTTTGTTTTCGATTTCTCAATGTCGCCCAAAAATGTATCCTTTCTTACTTTTATCGGGCTCCTTTATTGTGTAGCGTGTCGTCACGAAATAAACAAGAGCGCAGTGTACATAGGTAACTGAAATGTGAGGAGCAGCATGCATGGATTCCTGACATTATTATCAGTTTTAAATGCTCTAGGGCATCTAACTAACTGCATACCTAAACGTCCAAAAGTGATTTAATATTTTTGACATTTGTTCCTGAATTCTATTTTTACTCTTACGCCGTTATGCGCCGTTTCGTCACTTTCAACTAAAATTCAAGACCACTTTCCATAATTTGTTTTAAATAATACCAACTTATTGGTGAATAAACTTGCATGTTTCATCGGTCTCGGTATCGTAACGGTTATATCACAATCGTAATGCAGCTGTGCTGAAGCTGTAAGAATCTGTTCAAAACAAATAATGACTTGTGAATAACTACTAAAAGTAGCAAATGGAAAAGAAGGTTGATAACCCTACTTATATGAATCAATTAAGAACAGTTTACGTATTCATCAACTGGTTTTATAGCAGGAAAATGTAATATCCTTGATTTGAGGAAACAAAACCCATCATTGTTCGCATTCGGCTGAAATTTCCTTACGATGTCGACCTAAAGCCTTGAAAAAAGGAAGCGACACGGATGCAGCAGGATCCATGCCGGCCCTATTAGTGGGATACATTATCTTTCCCAAAACTGACAAGCTTTTAAACAAACCGGCATACGGTGAATGATGAGAAGAACTTCGCAAGCGCTAGTTATATCTTCAAAAAAGCGCAAGCGCCAAGTAATAGGCGTTGCGATGGGATGTAAAGGTATTAAGAACGCTTTAGATAATTTAGGTAATGGCTCTCAGCATATTTCACCAACGTCAAACACAATCACATTTTGTATTAAACGATCTCGTTGCACGTTGGGTGCGCGCAAAACAAGTCTACCGTTATCAAGACCAACACTTAAATAACGCTTACCTCAGAGACTAAATATAGACACATTCCTATGCACAAGCCCACGTATAGACGAAACAGACAACACTGACGGGGAACGTGCGCAGTGTGAAGCTAGTTTAAACAGAACTGTCCAACTTACAAACGCACATGTAACGCACGTAACGCACGCACAAGAATGAGTCACAACATCGCTGGATGGAAGCGACTTTTGTCGTACAGCCTCGGTGTCTCGTCAGCGGTCAGCCGGACGGGGTATTTTCCGAGCGGCAGGTACTGTGTACCGGGATCTGACAGAGATGGACAGGAGTGGGGCCGGGGCGGGCGGTCCTACACTCCGCTGATGTAAGTGGTGACCTGGCGGCCGGCGCTCGGCTGGATGGGCCGCTTGTTGCGGATCATCTTATCGGTGAGCGCCTCGTTGGAGAAGATCTCGGCGTAGAGCTGCAGCAGGAACTCCCACTCCATCTCAAACTCGGTGGCCGAGACGATCCACAGCACCACCGGGTTGCACGGCGGCTTGGTCATGCTGCCGTAGTACATGTAGAACTTGCTCAGCGCCGTCTTCATCATGGCCTTCCAGGGCGTGATGTCGGCGTTGAGGTTGATGGTGGCGCCCGGCATGGCCAGGTCCTCGAGGATCAGGTCGATGCTGAACAGCGGGAAGAAGGGCAGGCCACGTGGGTTGTTGTTGCCCGTCAGAGGCACGGCCACGATCGCCAGACCGCCCGGGTACTTCTTGGCCTCGTTATACGTACCGTACTTTGCGTTGTAGAAGACCAGCTGCGCCTCGGCGTCGTAGAACTTGCCGTTGAAGCTGTGCTCGGAGCCCTCGTCACCCTGGCCCTCGCCCCAGTGCAGGTCCAGCTCGGCGAAGTGGTAGACTCCGAACAGGGGTCGGCTGTGGGAGCGCAGCGTCATCAGAGGACGGCTGACGTTCTCCGGCCGGATGAAGATCTTGATGGTGCGCCCGTTGTTGATGCCCTCGATCTCCGAGTTGCCGATGCCAGGCGCCCAGTCTACCTGGAGTTTCTCCACCCGGGGCTTCCCCGAGCCTGGAATGATGTTTATAGGTGATTGTAACGGCCCATCGCACAGCGGGAAGTAGCTCTTCCAGATGGAAGTGTTCTTGTAGTCCCAGAGCTCGTGCGGCGCGTCTGCGTGCAGCTGCAGCAGCTGCAGCACCAGGCTCCAGGCCAGTACCATGGCGGTTCGCTCTGCGGGGTCCGGTAGGTAGTTGCTCGCGCCGGCGCACCACACTGCTGAGCTGAGCTCGTCAGGGGGCCACACTGACCGTCCCGCTGCGGCGACCGGCTCTTTATGAACTGATGGCACCGCGCCGCGCGCCTCGGCTCGTCACGTGAGCGGCGCTTTTCCTCCGTGTCGGTCTGCGCGTGCCGGGCACGGCCGCCGCTGCCGGGAGTCACACCCGGCGGCGGAGCAGCTCCCCCCGCTGGGGGTGATCGGGAGGCGGCCGCGAGACGTCCGCGCCCCGACACTGCAGGAGTGTGCTCCCTGCACCCTCTGTGCCGTCCCCGCCCACGGTGAGCCTGCGGTTACTGCGCTATACCATCAGCGTCCCGGACACACCGCGACAGACATGCAATGTGGCGCGGCGGTCTTCCCTTCTAAATATATCGGAGGCGGCTGATTATGCATGGAATGGAAGGCACAAATAAGCGTTTTCAAAGCTATTACTTCGATTAAAGCGGTAGGTACTCATCTTGCACACTGCACAGTGCACTAATAAGTGAAACCTACCACCCGTAAGGGGGGGCGGCGTTTCGCCCCCACCCCCTAAGATCTCGGAAATTTACCGGCCGATTTTCAAAATTCAAACGGCGTTCGATAGCCCCACCAGGGAACTAAGTACCTTATGACCAAATTTCATTGACTTAGGTCAAACCGATGGCGTCACAGGTCAGGTAAAAGGTCGGATTTTCACCGTTTACAGGCATTTTAAGAAATGTGTTGTGAAATCGAGTAAAATGGTAAATTATTGAAAATCATCGATGGTAAATTGTTCGTCAAACACATACCTTGCTATCTGAGGTCACTGATACCGGGTCATTTCACAGCGGTCAGGTCACTGGGGGTCACAATATTAACCCGCGACCGCCTGGGGGGGTCGGATCCGACCCCCCCCTTCCGTTTTTCTTGAATAACTCATGAACCGCTTGCGCTATCAACTTGAAACTTCGCATACCTTCTCCCCCATCAATTTGACGTCTCCTGTGCAATTTTTAAGAAAAAAATTTTCAAAAATTTCTGAGATATATCCATTTTAGTGATGTAACTACATGGCGTTTTCAGTCAAAAAATGGTAAATGTTTAAAAAATCGCCAAAAATCGAGGTTTTAAGCAAATTGCAAATTAAGGACATGAAAAGACGCAGCTCAACGAGTTCTTTAAAATGGCTATCTCGGATTTTCCATAAAATGCGTTTTTCACCCCTAAAAAGTCAAAAAACTATATTTTTTGGAAAACAGCTAATAAAATCCAAAATTTTGAGAATTTCCAAAAAACCGGAATATATGTTATAGAGCTCTATTAGAACATTAGATGTCCCAAATTTCAACTTTCTATCTTGATTTTTGACCCCCAAATTGTAAAAAATAGCTCCAACATGCATAGGGCATGGTGACGTCATAAGCATTTTCGCGAATTAGAGGCACTTCTGAACATCGCATGTGAAAACAAATGGCACCACTAGGTTCCTGGGACAAAGCTCGTCTAGAGAAGTGCATTTTTATGTCAAAAATAAAAAGTTGAAAAATTGACTTTTTTTCTTAGCCCTCGTTTAGTTATGTATGGTATACATAGGCGTCGCCAGAGATTTTCGGTTGGGGGGGCAAAATCAACTTTTGTGTTAAAACTTGCCTTTCCCCAGTCTTCACTCACTCGTTTTACATATCATTCGACGCGCAATGGTGCGAGGAATCCGATGGTGACAAAGGGTTTCTTCTAGCTATGACATGTAATTTTTATAGAAAAATTCGAAATTTTTAAATTTTATGACAAAAACGACTGGTAGAATTATAGTATATAGTGGCTGCGATTGCCGACGCACTGCAGAGGGCCCCTGTGTAGACGCTCGACGCTCATGATCATTACCCAGAAAAAGGGGAAAAACGCTCCATTTAATCGGATCACCCTGCTAAAACCACCATTCACGCATGCATGCAGAGGTTTTACGTGAAATGCATAGGACTTATCCCAGCCACCGATCGTAGCTAAGTTGGGCATTCGGCGGAGAGTGAATGTCGGAAGTGTGAATCGGAAGTAATTCATCTTTGCTCAAGTGAGAGGAAGTGTTTTGTTCACTCGAGTGTGAACAAAAGTTTCTCGTTTTTCGTGTGAAGGGAAGCGCTGCAAACGCGAACAAAAACTGTTAAACGGAACCAAAAGTTACGCACGGCATAGCGGCAAGGGATCCCTTAGAGATAGGTTTGGGACTTCCAGGCCATTTCAGGCCACTCAGGGTCAGTGCTGACTCTCAGAAGCATGCTTAGGATCCCGGAGATCGGCGTGGGTCACCTCAAATATTTACGTGTACATGGTGCTTTAGGGCTTTCCGAGCCCAAGGTGGGGCCCTCAGAAGCCAGTGAGGGCGGCGGGCGCTAAGAAACTAGGCCCAGGGTGAGCCTGGAGCCCTCGGATAACAGTGTGAACCCTCGGGGTCTGTGTCGAATCCCTAAGGACCTTACGCAGGGACATAATAAACATGTGTTGCGGACCTCAACACATGTGAGGGACACGTGAGCTGCGACCCCTCAGATGCCGGCTTGGGGTTAGCAAAGTCTGTCGCCTCAAAAGTTTGGCTGAACTATCAGAGACCAGTTAAGGTTCTCAGAAATGTTCGAAGGCTCAAAGATCCCTGTATGGGCCCTCAGAGAACATGGACACCAGTGGGACTTTCAGAGGCCCGTTTGGGCCCTCTGAAAGCTTCTTTAGGGCTCAGTGGAGCTCCTTAGGAGCCTTTGTTTAAAGCAAGCTCATGAACCCTGCGACACTTGCACGGTAATTGAGCCTGTCGCAGACATTTGGCGAGAGTTGAGAAAGGCCCCGAAGATTTCGTTTCACGCTTTGAACGAAAATTGTGTCAGCACTCCAAAACTTATGAAAATCAGCTGTAAAATGTAATAAAGAACGAACTAGGAACATGGAATGAATCACAGCATTGACATTTCCGAGTCTGGACTCGGAGTCTTGAAGATTTTGGCGACTGCGAGTCAGACTCTGGTTTAAACTGCACGCTCCAACCGAGTCTGACCTCACGGACATTCTCAGAAAGGTACCCCCATTTTTTCCCCACTCCAAAATCTCATCGGATCTGTATCGATCTCAGGGGGTGCCCGGTCCGAGGTTGGGGGGGCAAGCTGCCCCGCTTGCCCCCCCGTGGCGACGCTAATGATGGTATAAACGATTTTTTATGCTTTCAATGCACACTTATCACCAGCACAGTGACTTGGGGTCACATATAACCATTACCATCGGATTTGGCGTGAAAAATAAGCCATAAAACATGTGTCGCACGCCCATGTAGCAGAAAGTGAAAACCGTGACCTTTCGTGACCTGACCTGACCTTGACCCGTACTAAGTATGACCCCTATACGCACATGGTACCTTCACTAGGTCTTTGGGGTCATTTGTGGTGAGTTTCGAGCAGCAGCTATCGATTCCGCTGTCCGTAAGCCTAATCATGCAAAACCCCTGAATTTGACCTTTGACCTGACCTTGACCCGAAAGTTGACCTCAATCTTAAAATGTTAAGAGTGCTTTGGGAAGGTCTCGTAGAGACCTTTCGAACGCCGCCTCGCGGGGCTCGATACGACCATTGGTTCTCGAGATAACAGGGGGGGGGGGTCGGATCCGACCCCCCCCCCCCCCCAGGCTGATGTGGGTACGGAAATAGCCCAGGCGGTGCCGGGTTAAAGTGTCGTGTAATAAATGTTTTATGGTCCAGTTTACATAACAAATGCGAGTATGTGGGTCAGGCAGCCCTTGGGGCCAGCTTAGGCTACTTTCTGGTGAAGGTCAGGCCAAGGTCAGGTCAAATTAAGTCAAATTAATTTCAAAGTTGATATTTTTGCATAAATCGGTATCGATTCGATGCAACTCGTCACGGGGAGTCTAATGGTGGTCTTTGTTTTGCCCTACGTGGTCTAGAATTGCCAAAAATTGAGTTTGAAAATTTGACGTCATCATTTTTGCAGTTTTTTTTTCGCTATAACTTGGTCAAAAAACGAGATATCGATCTAAAATTTGGTACGGAGATAGGAGACGGTAGGTATACTAACATATAGGTATATTCCGTTTTTTTTTAACTCAGAAAACTTTTTGGATTTTTTGGCTAATATATCAAAAAAATGTTTTTTTTTTTATTTGTGGGTGTCAAAACTAAAAAATTCAAAAATCCGAGATAGCAGTTTTGTAGCACTGTCAATTTTACACTTCTTTGTCTTGATCATTTTTCTGTATCTTCAAAGCTGCATAGGCCTGAGAGCTCTTCTCGCGAAGGTCTTTTTTCGGTCGAAAATGGCAGAACATGACGTCATTACTGACGTCATTTGTGGCCAATCTATTATAGCCTCTGGAAAAAAATTTTGGTCACAATGTGTAAAATTGATGCCCGGAGGGGTCCTGAAAGTTTGGTGGCGATATCTCTAGTCGTTTAGGAGATATCGACGGAAAAGGACAGGGGGGACGTTTCGGCCTCCCCCGTACGGGGCGCGGGCTAAAAAATCTGACACCTACCTACATCGTAGTTGTTCAATATTAACCTAGTAGGTAAACGACTTTTGAAAGTGATTCAAGGCACACCTTTTGCCCGAAAGAGGCGCACGCGACCTTCTCATATTGATTTATTTACGTGCAGGGCTATTTACGTAGCGGTTTATAGACAGGTCTCTAACTAACTTCACCGGGTACCTAGTGGGCCAATCTGGCTGTGAATCTGTCCATATAGCCGTTCGGCCCCTGATTCAGCTAAAGTGTCGCAGAAAAGCAAGCGTGTAGTGTCCGCAGTACAATAATTCCAATGATCAAGCCAAGGTTCTTACGTTTTCTCCCAGGTCATTAGTTGACCTCCCAGATCAGGCTGACGGCCGACGGGCGACGGCCAAAGTCGAGAAAATGGAACCTGCTAGAACTTCCTGGAGTTAGAGGGGGATTGAGGTATGCATGATTGGAAATGAAAGAATGTTTAGGTAAATGTCTGATTTTTTTTTCATTTCTAATGTAGGTACCTACCTACCTAACCCCATCGGGAATGTATGTCAACTACAGAATGATAATCCACTCCTCAGAAGCTAGCAGTTGACCGGAGCGCTAAGTTGCGCCGTTTATCACGCGTGTCGTATGTGACGTAATAATATGGCTGCCACTGAGCTGCCATATATGTGCAGTAAATACGGGCGGCTCAAGGTCAAAGGTTGTTATTGTTTGGCGTGTGGCTCGAGAATACACGGGTCCTGTTGTTCTCAATTCTTTGAGGTATATTGATGACACAGACTCGTGACATGGTGTCAGAAGTAAACTGAACCCTTCGTGTTGATATTTTGCCTGGTTGGCATTGCCTTCATTACTTGTATTCTCACTATGAATCTTCGATCGCCAACCGAGTTGAATTTCGGGGCGGCAAATATGGCTGCCGAGTGGGCAAGATGGAGCCGAGACTGGCAGTATTATGCTGCGGCCCGTGAGTTGGCTGCGAAGCCTATGGCGGTGCAGCTAGGGACTTTCTTTAATTGTGCAGGTGTCAGTGCACAAGAGATCGCGACACATTTTGAGTGGCAGGAGGCGGACGGCCTTCCGGCCCTCCTGGCCGAATTTGAAGCCTACTGCAACCCACGACGAAACGTCATTTTGGAACGTTTCACGTTCAACACCCGGCAACAGCGTCCGGATGAGAGTGTGACAAGCTTCCTGGCTGCCCTGCGCTCACTGGCGGCTACTTGTGAATTTCATGACGTGGACGACATGATTCGTGACCGCCTGGTCATTGGTGTGCGCGACCAGGGGACACAGCGCGCTCTTCTTCGTCAGTCGAAGCTGACGCTGCAGGAAGCGATAAATATTGCCATCTCCGAAGAGGCGTCAACACGTGACCAACAGAGTATGGCCGGTGCGCGCTCAGAAGAGCCGCAACAGAACACTAATGATGTCTGCGCAGTGTCCCAGCCGGTCGCACCCCCGTCTTCTGTTACGGTGAGCGCCCAGTGCCGCTTTTGTGCCCGGGTGCATGTGATGAGACGGACACAGTGTCCCGCGTGGGGCAAAACGTGCAACGTGTGCGGCGGCCAGAATCATTTCTCCGGAGGGATAGCGTGCCCACGGCGACGACCGGCTGGAACCAGTGGCGCAGCGCTGGGCGCCGCGGGAGGAGCTCGTGCGCCTCGACAACGCCAGTTCGGGTCTGGAGACGGTCGGCGCCGCCCACCAGACGGCAGTGGGCCTAGAGTCGCCGCGGTACAAACGCCTGAAGATGAAGACCCATACATCGTGGGCGCTGTTTTCGAAACAGGTATGGACCCCTCCAGGGTATACAAAACTATGCACGCCGACAATGGGGAATCTATCAGATTCCTGGTTGACTCCGGCTCCCAGTGTAATGTTATCGGTATCAACGAATATGAGCGAGTGTCAGGTGACGTCACCCACAGGCATTTGCAAAACAGAGTCACTCACCTGCGCATGTATGACGGGTCTGTGGTAGCAACAGTGGGGAGAGCCCGGCTAAGTCTGTACAAAGGGCCCGACAAACGACGTGTAGTGATTTTGTGCCGTGTAGTCGCACAGGATGTCACCCCGATCCTCAGCCTGTCATCATCCATTGACCTGGGCCTTCTTCAGGTCAATGATGTCGACCCATTGGACTACGTTCCCCATGTATATAGAACCGACAGCGCCCCTGCCGTGCCGACACCGACTTCCGCGGTCACAGACACGCGACAGGGTGGGACTATGATCGGACAGCAGCCATCTTTGCTGACAGCTGAGACCGTCCTCCGCGAGTATCATGATGTATTTGACACATCTTCGATCGGGTGTGTGCTGAGTGATTATGCGATCGTCACTGATCCTACGGTCCGTCCGGTGGCTGATCCGCCGCGTCGCGTGCGTGTACATGTTCGAGATAAGCTGAAGGCAAAGCTTGATGATCTGACAAAGCACGGTCTGATTACCCCAGTAACCAGCCCAACGCCGTGGGTCTCTAACCTGGTGGTTGTAGACAAGCCATCTGGAGACATTCGTCTGTGTCTAGACCCAAAATCTCTCAACGAGGCGGTGCTGAGAGAGCACTACCCGACGCCCACACTTGATGAAGTGACCTCTCGCCTTAGTGGTGCCAAGGTGTTCTCTGTTGTAGACGCCAGTCGAGCCTTCTGGCAAGTAGGATTGTCAGACGCATCTGCCAACCTGTGCTGTTTCCACACGCCCTTCGGCAGATATCGCTGGGAACGCCTCCCGTATGGTATAAAGTCGGCACCAGAGGTGTGGCAGCGAACGATGCATGAACTGGTGAGCGGCCTTTCCGGTGTAGAGGTGATTGCGGACGACTTTGTCATCTATGGCTGTGGTCAGACGCGAGCAGAGGCGACTCTGGACCACGATAAGAACCTTCTGGCATTTCTCGATCGCGCACGCTCCCGTCATCTCCGTCTGAACCCTGACAAATTCAAATTTAAGGTGAGTCAGGTGAAATGGATGGGTCACCTTCTCAGCGATCGCGGCCTACACGCCGATCCTGCCAAAGTGCAGGCCATCACTGATCTTCCTGCCCCGACATCAGTAATCGAGCTCAAAAGATTTCTTGGCATGGTGGGATATCTGTCTCGGTTTGTGCCCAACATTTCCGATGTGCTGCATCCCCTACGTCAGCTGACTCATCGCAATGTCGGCTGGTTCTGGAGTCCGGCATGTGAGAATGCATTCCAAACCATAAAAGACCTTCTGACATCGGCGCCGGTCCTCTGCTTCTATGACCCCAGGCGAGAAGCGACCGTACAGTGTGACGCCAGCAAAGCCGGTCTAGGCGCGGTTTTGCTTCAGGATGGACATCCCGTCATGTATTGTTCGCGTTCACTTACTGCAGCAGAGCAAGCGTACTCTCAGATCGAGAAAGAGCTGCTCGCCATAGTGTTTGCAATGACCCGGCTCGATCAGTTCGTGTATGGTAGGCCGGTCACAGTACAGAGTGACCATAAGCCGCTCGAGGCCATCATGGCAAAGCCCCTAGGGGATGCTCCTCTTCGGCTTCAGCGCATGCTGCTCGCACTGCAGCGATATGACATAACCATAGTGTACACTAAAGGATCGCTAGTGCTCGTGGCCGACACCCTGAGCCGAGCAGCTCTGCCTGAAACCAGTCAGTCGGCGTGTGCAGTGCAACTTGAAAACGTTGATCTGACGAAAGGCGTTTCGATCTCCCCCCAGAGACTGATGAAGCTGCGATCAGCTACCGCCGATGATCCCATTTTGTCTCAGCTGCTGAGGCAGCTGCGCTCTGGCTGGCCGGCGCATCGCCGAGACGTTCCTGAGCTTCTGAGGGGCTACTTTCCGTTCAGGGACGAACTGGCCGTGCAAGACGGACTGATCTTTAAAGGCCGGCGCCTCGTGGTTCCTTTCAGTCAGCAGCGAGAAGTGATAACTGAGCTGCATCGTGCTCACATTGGACTCGCTTCAACCCTTCGACTTGCGCGTGAGTGTGTTTTCTGGTTGGGTATGACCAGCGCTTTGAAGGAGACCATCCTCAAATGTACAGTGTGCCTGGCACATCACCCTGCTCAGTCTAGGGAGCCCATGATGTCACACGAGCTGCCAGATCGTCCCTGGCAAAAGATAGCTGTTGACTTGTTTGAGCTGAACGGTGTAGCATACAGCGTTTTGGTTGACTACTACAGTAATTTTGTCGAAGTTGATCGGTTGGCTTCAATGTCAACTACCAATGTCATAAAAGCCATGTCAGCTCAGTTCGCGCGGTATGGGATCCCAGAAACCATTGTCAGTGATAATGGCCCGTGCTACGCCAGTGCAGAGTTCAAAGCATACACAGATCGTTTGGACATTGTTCACTGCACTTCGAGCCCGAGCTATCCCCAGTCAAACGGGAAAGCCGAAAACGCTGTTCGCACGGTAAAGCGCTTGTTCAAAAAGGCACTCGAGTCGGGCGGAAACCCACAGTGGGCTCTCCTTGCTTGGCGGAACGTACCGACGGAAGGTATAGGTGTCTCTCCGGCACAACTCATGTTTGGTCGCCCTGCTCGAACTTTCGTGCCTCAGGTGCGCTCAAATTTCACGGCACCCGGCTCCCCAGATGTATCGCGCGAATTGCTGCAACGAAAGGCTAAACAGGCGACATACTACAACCGAGGCACCCACTCTCTCAAGCCACTGGAAGCGGGCCAGTCCATCCGCATGCGGTTGCCCGGACAGGCTAGATGGTCACTCGGTGTGTGCGTGAGGCCACTGACCCACCGCTCGTACCTTGTGAAGGTGAATGGCGTGTTTTACCGCCGGAATCGGCGGCAGCTTCTGGCTGGAGATGTGGGCTCTGATGTGGACTGTGATGAGCGAAATACTCCAGTGCGTAACCCACCGGTACTGAACTTGCCTGCTTTCCGTTCCCGGGAACAGGTGCCACGCCCTTTCCAGAGTCCCTCATCGGATGAGGCAGGTGACCCACAGGTCCCAGATATGCCTGATCCCCTGCTGGCGCCTCCAGTTTCAGCGCCACCTGATATCCCTGTCCGTCCCGCTCCCTCGGCAGTACCAACGCCTGTCCGCCGCTCGTCGCGCGAATCTCATCCGCCAGGGTACCTGTCTGACTACGTCACTAAATGAGAAAGGGGCGGGGTATCGGGTATCGATGGAACTTGTGATGTCGTGTGTTTGCGCAGTTAAAGGTTTTGTGCTTACATGCCGGTGGAAATTGTGCTATCGTTGTGTGCGCATTTTCCCTGTTTAGGCTTACCCGTTATGCATCAGTGTTTTGGGTGTTCTGACGCTCGTCTTCGCGTATACTGCTCAATGTTCAGAAGCTATGTTCATTTGCTGTTCCTGTTCGATGATGGGATGTAGTGCCTACTGTTTTGGCGGTAAGGAAAGGGAGATGTGACGTAATAATATGGCTGCCACTGAGCTGCCATATATGTGCAGTAAATACGGGCGGCTCAAGGTCAAAGGTTGTTATTGTTTGGCGTGTGGCTCGAGAATACACGGGTCCTGTTGTTCTCAATTCTTTGAGGTATATTGATGACACAGACTCGTGACATCGTAAGCGTGTCGATTCACGATTGTGAGCATTGGGACAAAGCTTTACCTAATTTGTGAACTCAACCCGTGTGATGCGGCACAGCCTACCACTCCAGGGAAATAATTGCCTGTGAAAAGTGGAACATCATTCTGTAGTCGACTATGCATATATCGTAATCGGCCTGATCACGATTCACGATGTTTGCTGTGTGCCTGATGCTGGTCTAAATCATGGGCTCCTCAGCCACCTGGGGATGGGGCCGCGAAATTCAGGACCCCTCCCCCCCCCCCCCCCCACCCACCCAATAATTTCACTTCCGTAATGAAGCCTGAATTATGAAGCCTGAAGGTATACCTTGGGTATCCACAGGGTGAGCCATAAAGAATTACCCATCAATAAATTCATTTTATTTCTAAACGGGTTGGCCTAGATATGCCATCTTTTGCATACATGTCTCAAATTTGTTTCCAATCCTGACAGTGTAACTCTTTTTGTATATGCTCGTCGACTGCCTCTGCTACGCTCCTGAAATGGGAGGTCGTCTTAACGCACATCCGCCGCTCCTGAAATTCAGGAATCACCACTGAGTGTTGGCTGCTGAGCACCCTCACTGGCGGATCCAGGGTTTCAGCGCGGGGGGGGCATACCAGGTCACGGAGCCAAACCTAGGGTATCCCCAAATCCTGTTTTCTCATCGGATTTAGGCCACTTATTTTTCGTCATAGCCCTGACACGAGTTTTTTCTTTAAAAAAAAAAATAAAAAATAGTAGAACACCTGACCCCATTGGTAGATCCAGGAGGAGGAGGCTTTTGGGACAAATACCCGGGCAGCGCCAGAAATCGACGAAAATTGGTGGGGCCGGTGGGGCCCTCAGAATGACTGGTGTGTAGAGCCGACCCAAGGGCCGCTGGTGTGGAACCTTAAGAGGTACTGGCGTGGGACCATCAAAGGTATCGGTGTGGGTTCCCCAGAGGCAGTGGTGTGGGGCCCTCAGAGGCACTGGTGCAGAAACCAGAAAGGACTCACATGGACGCCGTTGTGGTGCCTCAGACACTGGTGTGGCGCTAAGCCCACACCATTCACAGATGGCTGTGTGTGGGGCCCTTGGAGTTGTTGGTGCGAAATGCGAATGCTTAATAACCCAGTAGGGCCTCTCAGAGACCGACAAAGGGCCCTCAGAGGCCGGTGACGGGCCGTATGATGCCAACAATGGGCCTTCACAGGCCGGCAAGTGAGGGCCTGCAGTATCTTCAGGAGCCCTGTGGAGTCCTTAGAGATCGGCATGGTACTCTCAGACGCCGGTGGGGCCCTCGGAGTCACCGGTGTAGGACCTACAGAGTTACCGGTGGCTGGCTGCCAGAGACACTGGTGTGGGGCCCCAGAGGCGCCGGTGTGGGACGCTCAGAGTCGCCGATGTGGGGCCTCAGGAGACACTGGTGTCTCAGAGGTGGCGGTGTAGGGCCCTCAGACGTGTCTGTGTGGTGCCCTCACAGTCGCCGGTGAAGACTTTCAAAGGCATCGTTGTGGGAGTCCTCACTTCTCAGAGACACAGGCATGGGGGAAAAGGGTCTTCGAGAGGCCAGCAAGGGGTGGATGGAGGCCTTCAGGAGCACTGTGGGATCCTGGAGACCGGCGTGGTACTCTCAGGCGTCGCTGGGAGCCCTCAGAGTCACCAGTGTGGGGCCCACAGAGTTGCAGGTAGGTAGCCGTCAGATGCGCTTGTGTAAGACCTTCAGAGGCGCCAGTGTGGGGCCCTCAGAGCCGCCGCCGATGTAGGACCTTAACCCGCGCCGGGCCGGTGCTCTGAGATTCCGCGCCGGGCCGGGGGGGGGGGTGTCTGAACACCCCCCCTTCTAACTCGGCTCCTGGGCCACGTAGCGGCACGGGGTAAGCGGCAATGGAAAGAACGTCCAAAATAAGGACGAAAACACTTCGGTCATTTTTAGGGTCACGTCAAAGGTCAGGTCACCAAAGGTCACCAAAGGTCAAATGTCCACTATTTCAACATTTTGGGAACTGCCAACCGGGCTATCTCGGGAACCGATAGAGCTACAGCGCCGCGGAAAAGCGCATTCGATAGCCCTTTTACAGTCCTTTCTGAGTAATGTTCTCAGATTTGACCTCAGGTCAACGGTTTAGCCTCCAGGGGGCAAAAACTCCAAAAATAGCCGTTTTTACGAAAAACGTTTTTTCGGCAATAACTTTTGACTCAAAAGAGTCATGACATTACGTTTGCCACCATCGTGTTCTTCTCGTCGAGACGCGTCGAATGAACTATATTTTGACCTTGAAAGGTCAACTTGAAAAATTTGACCTCAGGTCAAGGTCATGACCTGACCGGAAAAGGTCATGTTGCATATCAGTCGATCTGCAACGTCGAGACGAACACATCTAAGGCGTTTTCAGCGCTCTAGCACGTCTCTATCAGAAGTTATTAGCGAAAAACTGTTAGATTCTGTTCGTGACCTGAGATGACCTCGGGGACATAACGAGGGGTCACAGTTGCCATTTTCCGGTTCAGTGTGTCCATTTTACCTACATCTCGATGTTTGAGAGTGTCTAGAATAACGTTCGTGCAAAACAGACGCTTTTCAATTTTCTCCCATTGACTTATAATGGAGAGGTCGCAAAATTGACCTGACCTTAGGTCATAGATATCAAAATTCCGAGATATACATTTTATAGATATTGTTGCTCTTATCAATCGCTGAAAGTTTCAAGGCAATCGATCAATCGGTGTAGCTATGACGAGCATTCTTATTTTTTCTGAGGTGAGGTCACTTGGCGTGACCTGGTGACCTGACCTAAGGTGACCTGGGTCTGAAATTTTCACAACATGTGCGGAAAAGATGCACGAACAGGTGTGCCAAAAACGGCGGCGCTCCGCGCCGCCGTTTTTGAGACATCTGTGAAAAACCGCAGGGGGGGGGGGGTGTTCAAACACCCCCCCGGCCCGGCGCGGGTTAAGAAACATTGGTGTTAGTCCCTCAGATTGGCGGTGTTGGGCCCTCAAAGGCGCCGGTGTGAGACCCTCACGGCTCACAGACGCCGTTATGGGCCCTCAGAGACACTAGTGTGGAGCCGTTCCATGCGGGTATGAGCAAGGACCATAATTAGAGCTGACGCTTAATAGGTCAGCAAGGTCACTCAGAGGCCAGCACAGGGCCCTCAGAAGCCGGAGTGGGGTCCTTATAGAGATGTGTGATGTGTGGCGACTCAGGAGCCCGTGACTCCGTGGGGTGCTCTCACGAGTCCTGCGGGTCTTATCTCAGTCGAAATAAGGCACGCTTGGAACCTGAGCGGCCAATTGGCACTGCAGGGCCTCTCGGGCCCATATGGCACCATGCATCTAATGAGGCGGCACGCACCCCTTGTGCCCCCCCCCCCCCGGTTACGCTGCACTGGCTGCGGCCATACAGGTAAACCATATTCTAACCGTCCCTATTCCCAAGCATAGGCGGCGGCCGATTCCTGGTTTGCGCAATACGAGTGCCATCGTTAGACAACGGTTAAAAGGGTTGAAGCGGCATGACTCCCCTGTGGTAAGAACTAAGAAGCAACATATTTTTAGACAAAATAAAGCAATGACAACTAAATTGAGGTTACTAAAACGACTCTGATCACAAAAGTAGTTACTAGGAAGGCTTCCTAATCCATTTTTATTTAGTTCCTCGTTATAGGCGTAAGAAGTGTAAGTCTGAACGGGGGGGGGCATACTTGTACTGAATGCCCTCCCCAGGCTCCTGACGGAGGGGGCATATGCCCCTAATGCCCCCCCTTGGATCCGCCAGTGAGCACCCTTTGGTCTAAAGAATGTTGGACACAATTCATCCCCGACATCAGCCCCACGGGCTTCCCAAACTAAAATATCCTAAAAACCCGACTCTACCGAGTCCCTGAAACACCGCAAATGACATACGGCGCAGCATTGTTATAGCATGGGTGATCGAGGAAAATAAGTGAAGAGACGGTGCGGCGGCCGCGTGCCATAGTGCTCTCGCGTCTCGGGTGCGTAACATAAGGAGAATGCGAGCATACAGAAAACAGACTACA